TGGCGCCCTCTAGCGGTGTATTTGAGTTTTATATGTGATAAGGAATTGCTATATAGGAATTGCTAACTTCACAGTCGTGATTTTTTTATCATAATAAAACGACACTTTCCCTACCGGGCATATCTAATTAGAACTTCCTTGATTCATATTAATTTGTATAGCGTCTTTGACTTTTCTTGATAATTATTAAATTATTATCATTGTGTTACTCTATAACACGGACTCGGGAGTTGTTTTCATAGATCGTTCTCTATCATTATTACAGTTAATTTAGGTTAAAGTTGTTATCTCTTTTCTGTGTAGACGATAGTCAAAACGTGTGTTGTACGACCAAAAACAAAAAATATTTGGTGATAACTTTTTTAATACTAATTCATTTATACGAATCATAACAAAAATTATTACCCTTAAATATCACTTGTTTTACTACATAATAATTTTATTCAATTATAAGGTTAACATTGTAAAAGGTAAAATAAAATTTATTTTTATTATTTATGAGAAATGTTATTTTAATGGAACATTTTGAAATTAGTATTTTTAATTTATTTTAGTAATAAATAAAAAGTGTATGTTAATTGTTTCTTTATATTGTTATTTAATTCAATATATTTCTTTATAACATAACACATATTTTAAATACTTTTTATAATTTTTTATAGCTAAATCATGCCACAAAATGAATATATGGAAAGACACCGCAAATTATACGGTCGACGGCTTGATTATGAACAACGTATGCGGAAAAAAGAAGCTAGAGAACCTCATTTACGATCAGACAAAGCTAAACGTCTTCGTGGTCTTAAAGCTAAACTTTACAACAAAGAAAGGCGAAATGAAAAAATTCAAATGAAGAAAAAGATTAAAGAACATGAAGAGAAATTACAAAAGAAAAAAGAAGAAAAGCCTAAAGAAGGTGCCCTTCCTGTTTATTTACTAGACAGAGATGTTCAGTCTAGTGCCAAAGTACTATCTAATATGATAAAACAAAAACGCAAAGAAAAGGCCGGTAAATGGGATGTACCAATCCCTAAAGTACGAGCTCAAGCTGATGCTGAAGTATTTAAAGTTTTAAGAACAGGAAAATCCAGAAGAAAGGCTTGGAAGAGAATGGTTACTAAAGTTTGTTATGTTGGTGAAGGTTTTACAAGAAAACCTCCTAAATTCGAAAGATTTATCAGACCAATGGCATTACGTTTTAACAAAGCTCATGTCACTCATCCTGAATTAAAAGCTACCTTCTGTTTACCTATCATTGGAGTTAAGAAAAATCCAAATTCACCTATGTATACAAATTTAGGAGTAATAACTAAAGGTACAGTTATTGAAGTTAATATCAGTGAATTAGGTTTGGTAACACAATCAGGTAAAGTAGTGTGGGGAAAATATGCCCAAGTCACAAACAATCCTGAAAATGATGGATGCATTAATGCTGTTCTTTTAGTTTAAATAAATATTTATTTACCTGATTTTTCTGGTTTGTTTTACTTATTATCTGTCCTGCTTTATCTTAGTTCTATTCGTTATTTGAATGGACAACACTCAAATGACAAATGAGTGGAGCTCATACATTCAGAACTTCATAGTGACATGTCTATATAAGAGGTTACCCCAAGGTACTCATGAGACTGTCTTGATGAAACTAATAAAAATTTGGTAAAAATATATGGAATGTTATTTATTATTTATGTTCTTGCGTTTATACATATTGATATTTAATAAGCGAGATATCTAAGGATTATTAGCGGTAGAGTAGCTAGAATTTTTTTTTTACTTAACAAAAAATTTTAAAGGAGCATCAAATACAAACTGCACGAGGCACTGAAACCCTTTAACACTCCACTTCAGAACTGTACTGTACACAACTTACTATAAATAACTAGTTAATAACAGTAAAACCTCATTATTAAGCAATTCAATTTTATATGCAGATTTTTTATAGTTCAACTCTTATATCTTTTAACATTAAAAAAACTACATTAAATACAAAATACTGAATAATACTTCCTCTTTTCTAGCTTCTAAAATTTTGTAACATTAAAATAGCTCAGCTTAATATGTCAATAAAAGTAAAAAAAACAATTATCTCTACATCACACATATTGCATACCCAGAATAAGTATAATAAAACTCAAAATTTGACAAATTTGAGTTAATCTCATATTTGAAATAATTGATTTTAACTGAACAGAATGGTAAAATGAATTAAGTCAAATTTGTTTTGTGTATATTTAAGATGCAGTGAAAATTTTTAAATGAAACAACTTATTTTTCAGTAAAAAATTTTATTTAACCATTTATCTGTTTGTATTTTCCAATCATTGCAGATAGTTGTGTCGTTATGTAATAACAAATTATAATTTGCAATAATAACTTTATTTAGATGATACAGTGGCATATGAATGAAGGACGAATATCAGGAGATATGATACCCCCTTTAACAGTTGCTTTACATACAATATTTTTTAACGTATCTTTTCTAATTATTATGACAATTAAGACAAATTAACTTTATAAATTTAAAAAATTTATTTGTGTGCCAACTATCATGAGTTTTTTTAAAATAATTTTGTTTTGAATATTGTTAACACTTTTAAAATGTTCATTTCATACATGATAATACTATTTCTCTTTTTGTATTAACAGTTTTACTGTATATATTTTACTTTATTTAAAATAAATATACAATTTTATAATTGATATCAGATTAGTTAGCTAGAAAAAATAAATACATAAATAATATTTTCAAAAACAAAGTTATACATTGATTTTTAATAATAGTTTTGCTTTTGCAATACGATTACAATACTCTGGTAGTAAACCTAAAGATGCCAAATCTTCATTTGTAAGTTGAAATAATTGCTTTTTGAAAAAATATAAAATTGCATTCCAACTCATTATTTTCAACTTGGGTATAATAACCCATGCACTCACTAAACTGTTATTTTGTTCTAGTACTCTACTATCCCTATTGTACACCATACCATTACAATAATACAGTTTACCAGATGGTGTAATTGCAGAAGATAAAAAAAATATTGAACTAGGTAATCTACATAAATTTAAACTGGACCACTCAAGAGTTGATAAATTAAAGCACCATAAATCTTGAAAAAAATTGTGTTTATCATATCCTCCAATTACATACACATGCTTGTGTTGATTCCTACATTGAATCCAGCCATGATGAATTCTATTAGAAGGATAAAGTGAAGTTTTTCTATCTGATATAGTTGGTATATACTTCCACTTATTGATTTTCAAGTCAAAAATATGAATTATCTAAAATACATATTTTAATGTAAGTAATATATTTATTGAATACTATTTTCAAGATAATAATTCTGTTATTGAATAGAATAATTGATTCTTTAATAAAAATATGAAATAAGATTAAGTTTGGTTGGGTTATAATACCAACAAATTTTTGTATAACTTATAAAATACTATATTGATTAATGAATATTAGTTAGACACAAAACTTTTCCATGAAATTGCCTTTTTTCATTAAGTTTAAATAAAAAATAATTTTACCTAACATTGATAAAAATAAAAACAAAATACCTACAAGAATTTCATGAAAATACAACGATCATTTTAATGATATTATTGTATTAATATACAGTAGATAACAACCAATCGAATTTTTATAAGAAAAGCTTTAAAATAAAGTCTATTTCAAAATTTTGTAAAAATTATTTTATTATTATTATTTGAAATAAATATTAAAATATACTATTAATAGTCTAAAAATGCAAAAATTAAAAAAAAAAAAAAAAAATACAATAAAATTTTTATTAAATCAAAAGTTATAAGAGTTATAAGTTACATCTATTCCACTCTCTATATTAAAATATTTACTTGGAATGTATTTAAAAATATATCATGTCTTGCATCATGAAAAGTTCCACCAAACATAAACAAACATTCATTATAGTATGCTACATCATGTTTGAATTTTTGTTTAGTATTTAAGTATTTTCCATAAGCTTTTGATAATATCTCCCATTTTTTGGTTTCTAAATCAAGTCTATATACATCCATTTCATTTTTGAAATTTGACATACCAGTAACTGAATAAATAAATTGATCTTTCATTATTATAGGTTGACCATAGCCAGATTTTAGTAAAGTACTAGAACAGTTAATTTCATCAAACTTAATTCCATTTGGATCATTTTCTTTTAAAACATTACCTAAAATATAGTAAAAAAATTTCAATGATAGTAACTTATGTAAAAAATAAAATTTAAATACCAATAAATGTCTTGTAGTTAGATTCATTGCTAAAACGAGCTCCAATTCCACCATGTATTATTATCAAGTTTCCCGATAATATAATAGAACTATATTTTAACTGATGTGGTAAATTACATTTTAATTTTACCCATCTACATGCAACTAAGTCATACTTCCACAATGTTCCTGCAAATTTCTAAAAATAATATCACTATGAAATTTATTTTATATTTAAGCAATATAATTTTACTGTACATTATAAGCCTTACATTATTCATATAAGACATTTGATGTAAGTCTTCAATAATTGATTCGCCATAAATATATAAATAATCGTCATTACAGGCGATTCCATGATCTATTTTGATTAATGGTCGTTGGTTATGGTCACAATTATCTACATTAAATGTCAAATGTTGGAATAAATATGGCATAATATTCTAAAAGTATATTATAAGATTTAAGTGAAATTGTTCAATATTTATTAGATAATTATTGAATTAACTATATTATAAATAACTACATCGAATTAATTTACTCAGTCCAAGATCTTAAATAAAAATATGTCCAGCAAGTACTACTACTTAAAATAATAGTTAATTTACAAAATCAAATGCAAAATAATTTTTTAATTATTCAAAAAATGTTATCAAATTCAAATATAGTGTTATCATTTTAAAAAATGCACTGACATTATTTAAAAATCGTAATATATCACAGATTTACCTTAAGTTTAAATGTTTGGTGAAATTAGTCTAAAAATTTAACATTTTTTAGTTGTTGAATCTAAATTTCCTATAAGATCTAAAAGGAAAAAATTCTCAACTTAATACTTTACTTTAAGATAATCTCTCAGTTATAGGAAAGCCGATAGTTTAAGTTTAGGGTCAAAAATAAGTATGAAGAATGTTGCCAAACATCTTTTATTAAGTAGGCTATTATGTTGTAAAATTATATCGAATTTTAAATTTTGCTCCTGAGGTTAATTTTATATTCAACTGTAATAATTATTACTTATTTATGTATCACATTACATAATTATTATATGTAAATATCACGCAATTGTACATGGGACTGTTAACTTTGTACTATTACACTACGCATACAAAATTAATTTATGACATTTAGATTTTAAGATATTATCATTATTTACTACCTGAACTTCCTCTGGTAATTTTAGTCTTCGTTAAGTTCAACTAATAGTAGTTTAAACTATAATGGGCCCCTATTGTACGTATTTTTATTTTATTAAAATTTTAAAATGTTAAGAAAAAAGATTTTATAGTTCATGAAAATCTTATGACATTTTATCTGCCCGTGTACCTATTTTATTTAAGAATTTTTTTTGGTCATTTATTTCATTTTCGTGACCTTCAAAACACAAGCCTGTGGAGGGCACACTTCACCCCCCACCATTGTATTGACTCTAAAACAACGTTTTCGTAATTTTACAATAAAATCAAAATAAAAATATTAAATGGTAACGAACGGAGTTTAGGTATAATCTTTAAACACCAACAGTTATTTATAAAAAATTATAGAAATTTGATTATTGGTCTACAGATAGAATCGTCGCGTTTATTCTAAAACATTTGCAATTGATTTTAGACAAAAATGTTGTTTACGATCATTGTGGATAAAATCGTCGTACTAGTAAGATTAACGCATAAAATAACTTCTTGAAATTTTGAAGTCTTAGTAAGCTATCTTGATTACTTAACAAGATAGCTGTTAAGTGACACTAAATTTGAAGCCCTGTGTGACCGCGCGTAAAAACTAAATCCGATGCCGATTATAGTAACATTATAATCGGCATATCGTTATATATATCATTAAGATGTACAATAATTTATAAATTATATTATGCAACCGCAACTTATTAATTAAGTGTAAAATTATGATGCGTTAATCGATCTTGAGCCAACTTTCCGCAGATTTTGTGTTATATTATTACATAATTTTACTTACATTTCTAATAATCAATCAGTAACAGTCTAATTTAGTTTACTTTAAATTAGTACGCCTTATCAGTATAAAATTAAACATTTGAAAATAAAGCAATGAAATGACTTTACATCTATAAGAAATATTGATTGTTGAACCGTCCAACTATTAGTTATCGTGTAAATGCTTTAGTGGAACTAAAATAACATGTTCATCACTAAATCATATAAATAAATAATCATTACAAATCCAATTTAGTTTACATCTAGTTGCTATCGTAAATGTATACTGAATTACTGATTATCTAATATTTTTTCTGATTACCTAATATTTTCATAATTTGTGAACTCTATTAATATTTTATATTGAATTAATCTTTTACAAAATTAAATCGCTAATGTTATTTAATTTTTGCTCTTAAAATAAATATATCGTTTAAAATGGAGTATTTTTTCCCTAAATATTGCAACTCTTTTGTTAATCTTAAAGGTAAAACAGTAGTTATAACAGGCTGCAACACAGGAATAGGAAAAGAAACTGCTCTGAACTTTTATAGAAGAGGTAAGAATTAAATATTCAATCTAAGATAGAAAGCGTTTTAATCAATTTTTGTTCTTTTTTATTAAATAAAGTTTGATTTAAATTGCATTTTTTAGCCTAATTGACTTTTTAATGGAACAATTATGATACACGACAAATACAATTATTCATATAAACCAAAAGGTTCTATATTAGGATTTCTTAAAAATTACTTTTTTGAATATTATTTTAAATAATTCAACAGTTTATAATTTTAGCTTCGATGCGAAGCTGAGAAGGTATTGGTTTTACTAAGATGTGTTTTTTTTTTTTTTTTTTTGTGTCTGTTACCACTTTTTCTCAGCTCTCACCGAACCGATTTCTTTCAATGATACGTCAAAAGATCACAAATCGTATCTAGTCGAAGACATTACCCTCAAAAATTGAAAAAAATTCCCTCGTTCCCCGTAAATGGGGGAAACCTCCAAAAAAATTACAAATTTAAAAATCGCTAATTATCGAAATTTTTTCAATTTTTTTTACTTAAAAGTGCCATAACTTTTCCAAAAATGAACATATCAATATAATTCTTTTTTATATAGATGCATAATATCAATACCTTTCATTTGGTATATTTTTTTCATAAATTTAACCCTTAACCTGCCCACAAGGGGGGATTTAAAATGACAACTTTTTCACAAAAAATTTACTTTTTCAACTTAATTTTTTAAAGTGTTCCGGAAAGTCTGACACTTTTATATATATCTTAAATCAATGCTAATGTAATGTACTTTATTATGCAAAAAAAAAAAATTTCGGACTTTATTTTGTCTTCACGGTGAAAATAGCTACCGAATGCTATTATTGTGTGAAAATTCTCGATTTTATTTTTTACATTTTTAACTTTATAATGATATAACTTATTGAAAAGTGTATGGATCAACATAATTATTTAATGAGAAATAATATTTTTTAATAATCCCTTATATATATCTTTATCTGAATCAGGTTATTAATAAAGGACTAGCAGATCATGTTGCTTTTGGTATAATCCACCATTTTTTTAAATTATACACTATCTAAAGATTTGCATGGAAGCGTTTTTTTTGATAGTGATTTGAATCAATGTCAGATATCATAATACTTATCCAACTATGCCACGTCACCACTGTGCCGCGATCCTCCTGTGCTGGGTTTTTTATATATAATATAGAATACTTTATAACTAAAAGTTACTATATATAAATTAAAGATTGGTAAATTTAGTTACTTTCTAGATGAACTCTTTTTTTTTTTTTTTTTAAATTATTTAAGAACCAAAAGGTTTTATTTTTTTTTACATGTTAACTGCTGCTGTTATTAACACAATAATTATACTATTTATATATTCGAAGACAAGAATATTTGAATTATTAGTCAGCAATTCATATTTCCTAATTTTTTTGTATTAATAATATACTATCTATCGTGCATGTCGCACTATGCGTAAAAGAGCCTGTTACGGTGTTATTTAAGAGATGAACCTAAATACCCGTTACAATTAAGGGACCCACGAAGAGGATAACTGGCTAAGCTATATCTACCTTGAGGTACAAAGGGTTCCTATTTAATTTATAGACCATCAGATAAACTACCAAGGGACGTATTATACTAATGTAAACACTCTGATATTAATACAACGATACAGTTTAATAATTAGTAATTGTTAATGAAATAGTACATCCCGATGTATACCTAGAGACGTATCCAAACCGGGAGTCAACTGCGATGCACACATAGTCCTGACGGATCGATTAGATATGTCGTTAAGTTAAATTGAATTAGTCAGTGGCACTACTGTATATAAAAAGTATGGTGCGATAATAGCAAAAAGTGAACTACTGTTTAGCCCGGACGTATTATGGTTCATGACCGTGAATATGTAATAATGTTTATGTATGTTGTTTGACCTCTCGTTGGTATTGTATTGTGTTACTGTGTCAAAATCACCTAATTCTTCGTTAGCGATCTTATGTCTTATGAAAGCTATAAAAGACAGCAATATGAGCACTATATTATTATATAGCTGTATCTTGAAAAAAGTCGTTTCAACATTCAAGTTTCGAACTTTCGTAAGAAGTTTGCTATACAGTATTTTGTTTTTACATTTATATTCAATTCAGGTCAACTTTTATGCAAGTTAATGCCAAATTTAAATAGAAAAATAAAATAAATTATATTAAATTATATCAAATATCACGAATTATGATTATGGCAATCTTGCACTCATAACACAATTTTTTTGTTAAAAGGTTTTGGTTGAGTTGGGTTTCAAATTAATGTACTTAAATTTTGTTTATACGCGTATTATGAAGTTAATGTGTAAAATACCACCTACCCACCCTTAGGTTGAAGAGGGAGTATTGTTACTGTATTACACGTGTTACTGTGTTGTGGTCATCACTATAGATTATATTAAATCATTGTATATCCTATCATTTAATAATTGGCCATTCTGCATGTGACAGCAGTGGCGTAGTTATGATTTTGTTTTGAAAGACATACATACAAAATTGTTTATTACCCATCCAAACGAAAAAAATTGCATCGTCACCATGTAAATAATTTTATTTTAGGAAGTCTATCCCCATCATCACCATCATAGCAGGCCTGTCCTTACATATTGCCTTAAATATTTTTAATATTTATTTAGTTTTAAATTAATATCTTAATTATATTTTTAGTAAAAATAAAATTTTGATTTAGAGAGATTAACCTCTTTAATCTTCCTCCAAGTACTTTTTTTTGCTTTGCAAATACCAAGAGAACCGATTTTGAGCCAATGTATTTTTCTCTCCATGTAAAATATAGTTCCCGCGGTTATTTATATACAGTTATTTCATTGAGTATATTATCCCCTTCTTTTTTCATTAAATAATGATTTTTTCATAAAAAAGTGTAGATTCAAATTTAATTGTTTTTTTATAAACAAGGAAAGATTCACGATGAAAGATTTTTGGGGTAACTTTCGAATGTTGAACTTATTATTATCCATTTTATTATTAAATGGATATAATTTTTGATTATTTGTTGTACAATGCAATCACTCCGTTAAAACCATAAAACTAATAAAAGTCCCTTTTATCAGTGATTTGAAATATAATACTAAAAATTAGTTTCAACTCAAATACAAAAATTATTTAATTTAAAAAAAATTGATATAAATTATTAAAAACAGATATTTATTGAACAAACCACATAGACATTTAAATAACAATAATTACTATTAAATATAAATTAAATGTACAAGTACAATAATTGTAATAGACAAAACCTTAATGTAAAAATGAGGCATGTAATAATGAATTACACTAACAATAATCCACCATCTGATAAGTCATCAATAAGCTTAATGTATATAATTATATCTATAATTATATAATTTATTATATTATATATTATATTTATTATATAATAATTATATCTTTAATTATTGGATACAAGAGTTAATGAAAATCTGGAATACATTGTTAACTAATCACAGTATACACTTATTTGAAAACAATTAAAAAAAAAAAATTTCATAAAATTCGGCTACTATTCTAATTATTAAAACTTTTGATAGTCCAAAAAAAGTTTTACATTTTTCTATGATATATATATGAGTAGATTAAATATTACTTTATATTATAAGTTTGTAGTTAAAAAAAAAGAAGAGTATTACTCTTTATTTTTAAGGATCATGGCATTGTTTTTGTATTTTTGTCTAATTTATATATTTATATCGAATATAATGGAATTAATGAAACATATTAACCATAGTAGGAATTATTATATTATTAGTCTATTTCAACCAATATATATATTTTTTTTATGTAAAAATAGTGCATCGCTTTCTTTAAGTGATATGAAAATTTTTCATTAGCTTGATAAATGAAAAATGAAAATTCATTTTGCTTTCATGAAAAGTGAAAAATTATTTGATACGCTTTTTTAATCCTTGACACTCAATATGATTAATTTAAAAAAATGTTTGTTCTACCCTCCCTCTATTACTTCTTAAATATATATTAATTTAAGTCTTTAAATTTTAATATACAAATTTAACTGGTTTAAATATTGAAAAATGATCTAATTAAGAAAATGACTTAAGAAAATTGTTTGATAACAATTTTTGAACCATTTTTTTTGAAGATGTTATTACTTTTATATCTTTACGGGAGGAGAAATACTACGGGGCGATGATTTCCAGCTTTAATTTTTAATTTTTTATATCACTTAATATGTCCAATATGTAAAATATTGGTTCAAAATTTCACATTTTTTTTAGTTAAATTAGTAGCATGTTAAGTTTTATAAGCTTTATAAACAAAATATGATATATTACTATGTATTTTTGAAGATGATATAAGGTATATTTATACTATAAATTGACTATATTCAATTATCCTGTATTAATATTTTCGAAAATAATCAGGAGAAATTAATTAACGTTTTGAATTTTTTTTATATGATATTTATTTAAATTTATTACTTTTAGGCGCAAGAGTCATAATGGCTTGTAGAAGCATATCTAGAACACAAGCGGCTATAGATGATATTAGAAAAATTACTGAAGCAGAAGAAAATGTTGGAGAATTAGTATTCAAACATCTAGAATTGTCATTTCTTACTTCTGTAAGAAAGTGTGCTTGTGAAATACTTGATTCAGAGACACGCATAGATATTTTGATAAATAATGCAGGTAAATAATAACCATTGTCTGAAAATTAATTACTTCTTATATATGTTAATACATGAATAATATTACTTGTAAAACATTATATTATTCATAAAATTAGTTGGGATATTTTTAGAAAGTCGAAAATATAGCTACTCAAGTCATACTCTGATGAAAAATAAGGAAGTTTTCATTAAAAGTAAAATTAAAACTATTAATAGTTGGCGATATTAACACTAGTAATTACTAGGTATGATTTTCACGACCCAACAAATGCTTTTTATTATTTAGTCCTCAATAGTGCTTATTGGCACTCTATTTTTCACATGAAGTATAAAGTTAGATGGAAAAAAAGTTGCCAATTTGTTGAGATTTTTCAATTGCTTTAAAAACCATTTCCCGTTTAAATTTTTATAACTTGCACAATAATAAAATATTACCCATCGAATTTAATTTTTAGTGAACATTGTTTGGTATTTTATAAGTTGACTAATATTTAATTTCGATACGAAGCTAAGAAAGTATTAGTTTTACTATGGTATGCATTTTTTTTATATCTGTACTTTAAAATTCTTAGCTCTCATTGGATCAATTTGGTTGGTCTATGTGTCAAAAGAATTTTATATAAAATTTAGTAATCTATTTTCGAAAATAAAAGTAATTTTATTTAAAATGTATTAAATAATTTAATATCAAATAATTTTGATTGTCCATAAAAAAATTTTAAACAACCACAATAGATGCAATTTTCACGTGATACCTTCATAACGAAAGAAGTTTCATTTCATCCTCGCGTACTCGTAACACACATTGGTTTTTTTTTATCAAGATCCCATAAGACCTAAAATTATATTTTTCAATGTTCAGTCTTTTTAGTTTTATTACTTACTTCTTTCACCTAACCATCATAACTAATATTGTGACCTGAAATTTGAAGTTATTGTTAAATATTTTGAAATATGTTTTTTTATCGAAAAAAATAAATATTAATTGTGTAGTTCTTAAATATGTATTGTAATTATTTTGAATAAGTATGGAGAAGATATTATGTAATAAAATGTTTATAAATTTCATAGGCATTATGCTTTGTCCCAAAACACTATCAGAAGATGGATACGAATTACACTTGGCTACCAATCATTTGGGACATTTTTTATTGACTCTTTTGTTACTTCCAAGGATATTGAGATCATCTTCAGCAAGGATTATTAATGTTTCTTCGTTGGCTCATAATTGTGAGTATTTAATAATTTCGTGATACTTCTTATGTAAATTTTTTAGCTATAATATTAATTTAGGGGGTGACCAGCTTATGCATTTTGAAGATATAAATTTGGAAAAGAATTATACACCTAGTGGAGCGTATGGAAGATCGAAATTAGCTAATATTTTGTTTACTGTCGAATTAGCTAAACGATTGGAAGGTACAGAAAAGTAAAAAAATGTTGATATTTTATAGAATATTTTTTTTTATTTAACAAAATGAAAATTCTTATTGAATATTAAAATAATTAATATTTAATATGAATAATCACAGGTACTGGTATTAATGTTTATGCTGTAAACCCAGGAGTAGTACACACTGAATTGAGTAGATACGCTGACCAAACCATATTTCCTGGAGCTACATGGCTTTACAACGGATTTACAAAATATTTACTAAAAACGCCAGAACAAGGTTGTCAAACAATTCTATATTGTGCCTTAGATAGTCAATGTGCTAATGAAACTGGATTATATTACAGGTGTTTAACATTATATAATAAATTACTCATAATTTAATATCTATTCTTTGATATTGGTTTAGCGATTGTAAAAATGTTGAACCAAATCCTGCAGCTAAAGATCAAAATATTGCGAATGAACTGTGGGGTGTAAGTTGCAAACTCGTCAAAATTGATTTAGAAAGCAATTATTTTAAAGCCGATTAAACATCAATATTTTCACTAGTTAATTTGTTACAAAAAATAATAATTATAATTCAACATTATTAATTTAATTTAAATTTTATAAAATGAATCAATACTGTTCATAGTTATATCTTATTTATAAATTATCCTAATATAGTTATATCTCATTTTTATTCAAATAGTGTTAATGATTCGTGGTAATTATTATATTCAGAAAGAGGATCAGAATAACAATGAATGAAAAAAAAAAATATTATAAAATTGTATGTTTAAGTTGAAATCATATTAAATTTTTATACAAATTGATTCATTTCTTGATTTAAAAGTTATCTTTATGCAAAACTATTACGCATTTATAAATTATTTTTTCTTTAAATTTTATTTTATTTTATAGTTCATAAAAATTAAGTTTCACTATTTTATTTTTATTATAAAGTTTAGTATGGTAAGCGTTGTGAATGATTTTCAAAATATTATATTTTGAAATTTGTAATAATTATGGTAATAAAAAAACCCAGCACAGTGGTGAAGTGTCATAGTTGGTTTAAGTATAATGATATCTGACTATCAAAAAAAAAAAAAACGCTTCGATGCAAATCTTTAGAAAGTGTTTAATTTTAAAAAATTGGTGTATTATTCCAAAAGCTACAAAATCTGTTAGTTCCTTATTAATATCCTGATTAAGATAAAGTATGTCGAATGAAATTAAAGGGATTAATTAAAAGGGATTATTAAAAAATATTATTTCTCATAAAAAAATTGTGTTGATCCATATACTTTTCAATATGTCATAGCATTATAAAGTTAAAAATGTAAAAAATAAAATCGAGAATTTTCACACAATAATAGCATTTGGTAGCCATTTTTACCGTGAAGATAAAATAAAGTCGGAAATTTTTTTTTTGCATAATAAAGTAAATTACATTAGCTTTAATTTAAGATATAATTAAAACATTGTGCAAAAAATTAAAAAAATTTTAAATTTTTTGAAAATGAATTTCAATGAGTTTATAATTAATCTTATACAAACAACCGAACAATTTTTAAGTTTAAAATTATTAGATTATTTATATAGAATAAAAATAACCTTAAAGCTTTAAAGGTGTAAAAAGAAATGTCCATTTTTAATAATATATATATAGAAATTATAATACACTTAGCAAATGAAATTACCATAATTCTATTATACAGATTGTTCAGTAAGTAAGAAAATAGGTCAATTATTATAAACAATAAGAATAATAGAAACCAGTTTTCATAATTCTGAACATTCTATATATTGTAGCTATTAGTTCAATAAGGAGAAAGTAATTATTTTTTTAATATGTAATATTTAAACAAAAATAATTTAAAATAATTTTTTTAAATTTATTTATTCACTATACATAAGAACACTTGTAAATTATAAAATGGCTGCAGTTTTATATTTATAGAAAGAAACCTTGAGTTTTATATAAAAAAAAAATTATTTAAATTCTTAGTTATTTAATACTATTATTCATATTTTAAAAGAATTTACCCAATTTTTGTGCAAGTCATAACGAATGATGATTATTTAATTACTATTGATACAGGTAAAATGAATTACTATTATATAGACATTATTTTATTGAATATAATAATTTCAAATGCAATTATTGTTCAAGAGACTAATGAACTATATAAAAATATTGAAAATCAAACTTTTATAACCAATGACGATCTAAATCAACTCATAAGAAAATATCCAGGATTCATTAAGCTATATTTACAAGAAAATAAATACTACACTGGTAGTGATGCATCTCTTTGTCCTCTACCTTATGATGAAACTACATTGTTGGATGATCCTGATGTTAAGAAATTACAATATTTTGACCCGAGAGAATGTGAAAAGCCGTGGACGTGGACGCAACAAAATCAAATTATTGTTCCTGTCCCAAAAGATTTTACCATAAACAAAAAGTTAGGAGAACTAGTTCGTCAAGATAGCGATTTAGAAATTCTTCAGAAGTATACCTATTACCTAAATACTATCGAAAGTGTTGGAATAACTTTAGCCGATAGATTTTGTTTGTTTTTAGTTGAAGCCATTGATAGATTCGATAGTTTCTCTAAAGTTTTAATAATTTTTAAGTGTGCCAATATAAGAGAAGATTATCTAAAAATAAATTTAAACATATATAATTTTATACTGTTATTTAATAGTATGTATGACACATTTAAGCAATACTTCATTTCGACATTACCTCTTGACTGTATTACGAATGTTTTAAAGACATTTCCTACAAATGAAGAATTTAAAGGTGGTGAAGGAATTAGTATTCTAGTGAAATATATAGACCCCTACAGGGCACAATTAATAGAATGCAGAACACTTACAAATTTAAAAAGAAACTATGCTATTCTTTTAAATGATAAGCTGTGGAAATGGGATGTCACTTCAAAGGAAAAACCTAACAACAACAACTTGATAACATTATACTTTAACTGTGTTTTAGAGGGAGCTAGACTTTTTAATGTAGACGGTTTTACTATGATGAGTAAAAGATAATAATTAATTTTTTTTTGTGAAAGTTATCATAAAAATGAAATTTTTTTTGATTCATATTTAAATATTTATTATTAACTGCTGTATCATAATTTAAAATCATTTTTTCTCATAAATTGATACAAATAAATTTGTCAAAATAAAAGCATGTTAATTTTAAACATGAAAAATTTATATAATTGTAAATAGAGATGGGTAATAAGGCTTGCATTAATATAAGGTAATTGTCAAATAAATTTAATGTTAAGTTTTTTTTAAAATGTAGAATATATAAATTTAAAAATTAAGATTTAAGTCTACAGTCCTTGTTTTGTACTTCACATTTATAGGCACTTTTTTAACTTCCGAATAGCATAGAAAATTTTTGGGTCATTATAAAAATGTACTTTTAATATAAAAAAGTATTAGTCGAGGTATAAAGTTGTTGATTAAATATCTTTTGGTAAAAAGAAATAATTATAAGATTTATCGTAATATTTTTTTGTAATAAGCAATATTAAACTTGTGAAAATATTCACTACACTATAAATAATTTATTTCGATTTTGTTTCATATGATTTATTTACCGAGTTTTAAATGATTAACAAATTCTAGGCTCATCCTTTTAGCTTATTGATTTAACTTTTGTAAATGATTACATACATATTTAACTAGCGTATATTAAAAAAAGAAGATTAATCTAAGAAATTATAAGTTAATAACATTTTTTAGCCAATATTTCAGAAGTTATTTACACATTAGTGTACATTATGTGGGTGATATGCTGGTTATATTATTTTTATTGCAACACATTTTTCTGCTAATGAAAATTTTAAACTTATTGATAACAAACAGCAGTAGCAGCTATTTTAAAGTTTTAATAGCATACTGCATAACATCAGTAATAATAGCAATCACGGATAAAATTTGTATTACACGTTGTTTTATTCTTAGTTTGTTATATTGAATAAATTAACTGTACGAAATAATAGTTGTTTTGTTTCCAGTTGCTGGATTATCATAATATATATATTACTATTATTATTTATAATAGCACTGTTATTATCTATTAATCTGCAACTAATAATGAATGAAGGCTGCAAAGACCGACGAGTTATCAGTATAAATATTGAGACATCAATAGCTACTATATTTTAATAGAATAACATTAACAGTTCCCATTGAATAATATACTAAATTATCGTCATTAGCCACTCTACTCCTCCCGTCAATGTATAAAAATATTCAAAACTCCTGAATAATTGTCCTACAAGTTATTGTGGATCAGTAATTTTCTTAATTACAACATTTTTTGACGTTTAAGATAGTTAAATATGATTTTCTTAGTATAAACCACCTAATTAATCGAAAAATAAAAGTAATATTATATAGTGAATAGATGTTCCTTCTAAAATAACCTGATCGAATGTTTAGGTATTTTTAAATGACAGTTGTGTTTACGTCACCAGTTCCCTTTTTACGTCTCTACGTCACCTGTTTTGGTAATTGTGTGTTCGAATATAAGAAGTACTGTGTCTAAATGGACGCGGTACTTCTTATATTCGCGATGGTTAAACATAATTTGTGAATCTGTTTATATTTGTTAGAGAGAGATTAATTTTTACTCACCATTTTGGGTCATGTTTCTAAGTCAGTTTTAAAAAAATTCAACTACTAAAGAATTAGCTGTTAATTTAGCTTCCACATTCGTTTTACAAAAATAGCTATGGCAATTTCTGAAGTAAGCATTTTTCGTACGATTTAGTGATAATGGTATTATATTGATTACTCTTTCCAAATTTTATAAGGCTGTAAAATTTCCCAAAGCATTAGATGGTAGTTTGTGATTGTGATCTTTCTTTAATGTCTGTCTAATGAAAATTTAATAAAATAACTCCAAATTACACTACAATAAAAACACGCTTTTTTAAAAACATATTTTCTATATTTTATTGCTGCTATAACTTTTTTTTAAAAATTTATTTCTAAAAATAATTAAACAGAATATTCTAAAGACAATATTCTTTATTTTGATATGCTTTTTATAAAAATCTAATGAAAAATCTAAGTACAAAAAGAGTTTGAAAGATATCACCCATATATGTTGCTACGACTAACGTTGTAGAACTCAAGATAGAGATGATTCGTTCGCGAATCGCATTGAATGGGTCATAATAGCGAACGAAATGATTCAGATCACCGAACCGTAGTGATCCGGATCCTCCAAATACCTACTTTTTTCCCGTATAAATCACACTGAACCGATTCGATCTCTTACCAAATATCAATTATAACATATTCATATGTCATTTGTTTATACGACACATCCCTAATCCGAATCGCGAATCATACATGCGATTCGCGAATCGAGAACCGTAAAAGAACCAAAACTATGCTGAATGTTCGGTTCAATTGACTCAAAATATCTTTTAGATCGCGAACGGGTCTTTGAACCGAATCATCTAATTGATCTTCGAAAGAATTCGAAAGAATTCGAAAGAATCAGATCACTTAGGTGAACCATAATTCCCATTTCTAACTCAAGATAAATAACGATAAAGTCGTTGAAATTTAATGTGTATCAGTGGCGGCGCAGCGCGCGCTCGATAAAGATT